TTTGATATTACAGACACTCTAATTTAATTAATATCTTTATATGATTAATGTTTTGGTCGATTAGACGTCTTGTGTGGTACACAGTAAGAGTATATAAAGTTCTGGATAAACTTTTACCAACTATATTATATAACCCATTTAAAGGGTAAATTATTGTTACTTGTTGGAGGTTAATATGACTGACGTGTCTATTTTCTTACACGTAGTAGAACGTCTAAAATGTCAATTCTCTGTATTTCGTTTGTCTTTAGGGACTGTCATCCTACGACAAGTTATTTAAGTTGTATTGTTTGTCTTTTGGGTCTTATCAAGTTAAGCCCGCTACACACCTTCAGTTTCAACTGTGCGATCGAATTGCACAGTTACAAACTGTATATGTGTAGGCAAATTTTTAACTGTAAATTAAACTGTACTGTTAAAGATTTGCCTACAGATGCTAACTCCTTACTGTACAGTTCGATTGTTCAGATAATACTGTGCAGTTTACTCTGAAGGTGTGTTACAGGCTTTATAGGCAAATTTGTTCCTCTTTATAAACCCAAACAAACTATTGACAGGTATCATATTAAGGAACGAGCAAGTTTGTGTTAGTTGTACAAATAAATTCAGAAAATTGCTCCACTGTATACCAAAGTTTTTTCCATAAACGAAAACACATTTAGTTCGAAGTCGCGGAAACGTAATACACTTATGTAGCATATCAATAACTTAGTTCCCGCAAGCATTATTAAGGTAAATAAGGAAGAATATGAGACTATTGTTTTGCTTTATATGAATCGAATGTACATACTTCTATATCATTATACAAATTCACCGCAAATGCTTTGTATTCCTGCTATGTAATAAATATAATTAATAACGCGCAGTTCAGAAATGTGAGGTATGAATAAGGCATTACACACATTCAGTGACGTCAGATTCCACTTCAGTTATTGTAGTTAGGCATTCTGTATGTAGTGTATCTATTATAAATGTAATACGGAGGTGGGTGCATGCCTTTGATAAGGATGCCTCGCATAGTTTCGCTTGAGATGACGCGCGTGTCTGAGACGTGTGTGTACACGGAATGAGGTATTAAGTTTATTTAACCTGTGATACATCATTTAAGTAAATTTTCAACAAGAGTATGCTTTAGTTATATTTTCTATTACGAGAAATTGTAAAACATGATCTGGTAATAACTTATCACGTCGATTATTTTTATTATTTTAATGTTTTTTTTTTTGAAAATTTTTTATTTGAAAATATGTAAGTATTTGATCTTATGTTATTGTGTACAGGGTCATCTAGTGGTGGTCAGAATAGTGAACGTGAGTGCGACTCTCCTCCAGAGCCTGCACCTCCGGAAGTGCCACCTCGCGGTCCGTCCCTGCACGTCACCCTCCGACACAGGACCACGCCATGCGAACCGCCGACTGATTCCGATCGCCTATTCTTATCTGAAGGTAAGTGAGTTGTAGACATATTGGTTTAGAACATTGTATGATATTTTATACACTTTAAATCATAGCTAAGCAGAAGAAAGATTTTAAATTGTCGCCAGTTTCGTCTTGTAAAAATATAGCATTAAAAACGAAGAATTGAGCGATAACTTTTTCCACTTGGAGTTTATCAAAAACAATAATTGCAGTTTTCTTTTACTGTAATTTTAATTTAATCTTCTAAGCTATCGGACAATAAGTTTAGTTTCCAACCTAAAAATAAGTGAAGTGCCCATTAATTAGTGCGTGGGAAACGTGACTTGAATCAAGTCTCAAATTTTCTTTGTTATTCTTTTAGTTTTCAATGTTCCCTTATAAACTTTACTGCTCTTATCCCATTTCATTTAAATTAATTAAAAGTACTTTAACATAGATATATTATCTTGCTTAAAATTCTGAATAGCGAGTGTCTACCTAGTCTAGCTTATTAAACGTATCTAACTTACAACAAACAATAAATTGTTTACCTTTATGCAGCGACTACTTGATTGTGATTAAAATTAAAATATTCTGTGTGTAATAGAGGATACTTTGAGATATTGTATATAGAATAGACGTTATCAATTGTTAGAATTACTTTCGATAAAGCACAGGTCGCGATCGCATTGCTGAGGCAGCCCGCACTTCTGATAACTTGGCTAATTAAATTTCCTCAGTAAATGTACAGGCGAGTTGTGTTAAGTAGGGCCTACTTGTAAAGGTACTTCGGTGGAAGTTTAATCGAGTTGCAGCGGCCGGTCCGTACCGGTTTGCGTCGGTTTGCGCCCGTACCGACTCGCTTCTGGCTGACAAATTAACCTCTTGATCTCGCCACGCTCCGGGCGTCTGTTCTCAATGTATTTTTATTTACTTCGTGTTTGATTTCCAAGTTGGATTCGTTTATCTTTAGGATTACATGGATAAACCTTTCCAACTTACACGTTTTTTGTTGTATAACCGGTGTTAGCCAGATTAGGTTTTGTCGACAACAATAATATTTCGAGCAATAGTATCTCGGGCTTAGCTATTAAATTGAGGGCTGTAATTTCTATCAGTGTCTGTCTATCTTTTCAATAATGAAAAGAGGTGATGTTATTGCCTATGAGATTTTAAGTGGTATTTTATATAGTTGGAATAAATTTATATCGCAAATAAAGCGTACTAACAAACGAATCTGAAGCTCACTTTCGCTTCGTAACGAAAGAAGGAAGCTGCTAAATTTGATTTGTAGGCAGGAGGAAGGGCTTTGATGTGGCCGCGTACCGCGACCCCTCGCGGCCGCGCCTCGCTAAAATGGCGCGCACTTACACAGAATCTCTTACCGTAATTTAATTTTTATGATAGCGCATTGTAAGTGTCCCTGGGAGGGTTTTATTTTGATTTGTTCTTTCACTTAGTATCAGGCGACAGCGCTAAAATAATACGGGCCGTAAATTTTATGAATTTAAATTTAAGCTCGCATAAAACAAAAGTAGAATTCGAGTGGCGTCTATTTTATTTGAACCTAACTGTAATAGGAAAGCAATAAATATTTAACGGCAAATATATAAGCGTGGACCGTAGGTGGAAGTGAATGAATTAGGCAAATCTTGATTCGAACAAGAAAATAGCTTCAAAAGGTCTTGAAAGTTTAATGGAATCGAACACGGACCGGCCGAAGAAGTGGGAAGTTTGTGCGGGTGACAAATTGGGCACTTGACCCGCGCGCCCAGCCCGGCCCGGCCTCCGAGTGCTTGTTTCTCGAGGACCGTAATAAGTTTAACTTTAAGTAAACTATATTCCATTCCCTCTAATTTGTACTCTTACTTCTCCGTAGTAACACTTTTTGCCGTATTAAATTAGCCGTGTCTATTTACTTATATGAACTCTGCTTGCGAAACTTAATCACCTTAATTTAAAAGTTAATTTTGTTCTTTTAGGTTAAGTCCCTTTATTTTGTATGTAACATTTGATACTAGTATCAAACATTTAATACAATCGACCGAGCCGACGATATTTCTTGTAGCAGAATATAAAATCCACATCTCTTCAAAGACCTTTCTATTCAAAAAGTTGATTTGTTTTTATTTAAAACTTAACCAATATTACCGTTCTTTAGTTTGCGGTAACTGATTGAAATAAAAAGTATGCTTTCTTTTGCTTTAATTCAATTTGCAAAGGCAACAGCGTTTAATAATAATGTATTCAAGAAATAAAAGCCAAAGAGGTGTGTATTCAATTTAAAATCTGTTCACACCAATTAGCCGGGAGCGCACGGTGCCGGCAGCGGTTGCAGATGCAATATCATTTCCCAGCGAGCAACAAGAATCTACGTCTCAAGTTTCTTGCGTTGCTTTTCGAAAATTGAAACCCCACGGAGTCGTGCTTTAATTTAATTTTTATCTTTGCTGTGTTGTTATCTCTCCAGGGGTGCAAACATTTCAACAACGACTTTTGAAGATAACAATACTTTTGATAGAATTATTATGCATTGTGTAAAAATATGCATTCTTCTATTATAAAAATAAATAATTATTGCTATCTGCTTTTTACGACATTTACGTGCTTTTATCTGATTATTTTATAAATAAATAAAGTTTATTTTGTTATTCGTGGTGGTAATTCCCACGTTCCTTTTTAATAGTATTAATTGCACCGCAGTTGTGGCTTAATTACATTAATGGTATTTAAAACTGTTATACATATCAGGAATTTAAAATCAGGAACCTAAAATAAAATTCCTGTTCATTTATCACTAAACATATAAAAATCAATCTATCTATCTATTTCTTGTTTATGGCTCTCCCACAGCGGATTGGGCCAGTGTCAAGTGTTTGTGGTTTTATTCTAATTTGGGAGAAACTGGCAACAATAAAAATCAATTCCGTCAATGTCCTTGAATTTGAGTAGAACATCTTTATTACATTCATAGATAAGCATAATTTTGTGTATAATGTATAGGTTTCTTTTATGTTTCTTGATAAAACTAGAAAACATAATAAAATGCTTTCCTCTAACTAAAAATTATTACTTTTTCTGGCATAATGTTAACGTAGAAAACGTATTCGTAAACTTTTTAACTATCCATAAAACGTGCTCGTACGATGGATTCCGACATTTGTCGTGTCCTGAGTGGGTCCTCTTTGATTCCGCGATACTCGTGCAGAGTTTTAAACATCCCCCATCCGGAAGCCACTTAAGTGCTCATAAAACACTCATACAACTATCTATCTAGATCGCCTCCTTATTTCTTTTATGGAGTTTCACGAATTGATACTTACGATTCCCGTTTTACGTATTTTTGATCTTATTTGATATAAAATGTACGTGTATTTGTTTTTACCCCATTGTTACAAAAGATCTGAATAACATTGATTTTAACGCAACTTATTCCAGACCTTTAAATACTGGAAAGTCAAGAAAAAAATTCAAACAAAAAAAATAATATAAATATACAGGTAAAAGTATATTTTTAGCAACACTTTCGTATTCTAAACGTTTATAAAGTCTACATTTTGTGTAAGTCACACAAAGTTAAAGTAAATCAACATATGTTAAAGCAATTTTCGTCGAGTCGATAGTGAATTCGATATTCTGCCCCTTATCCTAAATAGGGTCCTAACTTAAAGTCGCAAGCTTATTGTCGCATTCACGCCTAGACATGGCGCCGACGAAAAACTCTTTGTGAATCGTTTCCATTTATTTTTGCTTTGTATATTTCAACTTTACCATTTTTGAATTTCCGTTCTATAATATTTTTATAAAATAACATAAATTTAAAATTTATTTCGTCATATTAAAATTTACAAATTATATTATGGCGCTCTTATTTACAAGATAC